ACTTCATGCTCCCACCACTGCTCATATTCAATCTGTTAAACGCATTTTGAGATATCTTAAAGGTACGGTTTCCTTTGGTCTCTACTTTCGCCATATACAAACAAATACCATTTTGGGTTACTCTAATGCTGATTGGGCACACTATCTTGAAACTCGTCACTCTACTTATGACTATTCAATTTTCTTGGTGGAAATCTCATATCTTGGAGTGCCAAGAAACAACCTACTGTTTCCCGATCAAGTTGTGAGTCAGAGTATCGGGCTATGGCAAACACAACAGCTGAAATAGTTTGGATCATTCACCTCTTTCTTGAACTTCATGCTCTTCCTCCAGATCGGCCTACACTGTTATGTGATAATAAAAGTGCCATGTTCATGACTCAGTATCCCAATTCTCACAAACGGGTCAAACACATTAACCTGGACTATCATTTTGTTAGGGAACTTGGGCTTCTGGTAAACTTTACACCGAGTTCATTTCTACCAAGCTTCAGGTGGCAGATATATTCACCAAAAGTCTTCCACGTCTGCATTTTGAACATTTTCGTGCCATGCTTCGTCTTGGTCCACCACCGATTCGCTTAAGGGTGGATATTAGATAATAATCTAGAATTATATTAAAATGTATTATTGTGTATTATCTCTTTATTATTATAGGAGATATTGTTGTAATATTTTAATATAAATATACATAACACACATTATTATTGTGTGGTTCGTTCAATATAACAACCAGAACCGGAACTATTTAAGGGGGTTCAAATTCCAGAACCAATAGTTTCGAGGCGGTTTTGGTTCTGAAAACGAATACCTAATTCCGATGTTGATCCCTACTTACAAGTAACATGGAGGTAAAATTATAGAATAAGGGGTCGTTTGGTTCGCTGGAATCTGTTGGAATCGGAAGGAATTTGAATTTAATTCCATCACTTTCCTATGTTTGGTTCAAGTTTTGGGAATGAATTGGATTCCTAAATATGTCCAACTTTCCTTCCACTGAGGGAAAATAAATTCCATCTAAAAGATGAGGAAATTCAAATTCCTTCAAGTGAGAGTGGTGAATATTACCATATTACCCTTTTCATTTTTAACATTAAATGAAAAACCTCTATCACTACTTGCGACCACCTCCACCACAACCTTCGCCACCACTACCCACCACCACCACCTCCGCCACCCACCCACCGACCCACCACCACCAACCATCCTCACTAATAACATCGCCACTGCCACCACCTTCTACACCACCACCCACCGCTTCTGTTACCACCATCACCATCGTTGACACCATTACTATCACCACTGTCACCACCACCACTACCCATAACTTACCACCTACACCACAACCCTACCACTACCATAGTTACTACTAACTCTATCATCACCACCATCACCTCTATTGCCACCACCACCGTCGCCACTACCTGCACCCACCAACACCACCGCCGCCGCCACTAACACCTACCGCCACAACCACCACTGTCTCTACGATTAACATTAGTGATGTCACTACTACCACCACCTCCACCTTCATCACCACCACACATTACCACCATCACCACCACCGTCACTCTGCCACCATCGCCGCCGCCACCACCACCGTTTACTATTTTTATAATTTATATAATATATTTTTACATATAATTATAAAAAAAAGTAAAAGTAAGCAAAAATCAAAAATAGTAGTTCTGTCATTTTACACTATACAAATTCCATTTTCCGCCAACCAAACAAAATATAACATTGAATTCAAATTCTATTTACTGCTAACCAAACATAATATTAAATTAGATTCCAATTCAAGACCGTTCAAAAACATTATACGAGCCAAACAAGGCCTAAGGTTTATTTATATTATTTTATTTACATTGAAGATAATAAGCATTTAAGAAGACCATGTGTCCGACTGTTGTTCCGAAATCCACGAATCAAGTACAAGTACCAACAAAATCAAATTTATTGTTTCTACCCGCCCTTCCTACTTCACACGCCCTACTTTAATATTACCAAACATATATTACCAATTTGTATTATGTAATTTGAATCATAAGTTTAAGAATTCATGAATTCTAATTTCTTAATCAAACAAGCTTTCTTTATTTATTTTTTACAAAAATGGGTTTAATTTGGTTATAGTTTGATTCGGTAAGGTTTCAACTTGGTTTCACAATTTTAACGTTTCATATGGAGTTCTATGTATTATTAAAATACACTTACACAAACTAAAAGAAATGAACATATGATAAATCACATCTAACCTAATAAATAAAAATTATTTTTGTTAAATGTCATGTTTTTATTGAATTTGACATATATTATTTTCTAAGATTTCTTAATTATTTTTTCTCTACTTATTATTATTATTATTATTTTATATTTTTTGTTTTCTTAAATTAAAAATTCACATTTTACTAAGAGTTTATTAAATTCAGAATAAATGCTCTACCATATTTTTTTTCCTTCCTATTTCAAATCTCTTAGCTAGAAGATATTGAATTAGTTACCTTATTTATTATATTATTTGTATTTATACAAAAGTATTAGTTTAAAAATATATAATGTTTATAACTTTATATCAAACTTCTAATTTTAATAAATTCGTATAATACACAGGTTCTACATCTAGTTTACAATAACTTCTCATCATCACACGTTTGTTTTTTAAATGGTTTAATTGGGTCGGATTAGATTACAACGTCCATTTAACTCAAACATTATAAATGTTTTTTTTGTTTTAAATATAAATAGAAAACTCATTCAATTGAAATAATAATTTATGTATGTAAAGAACGATTTAGAATTATTATAAACAACGAAATACTTTCGACATGTTTCATTATCCAAACTTTTAACCTTTATACATTTGAACAGTTAGAAATAGACATTTAAAATATAATAATAATAATAATAATAATAATAATAATAATAATAATAATAATAACTAGAAAGGTTACCCCCGCTACGCAAGGCCAGAAGCTTTCAATGTTGTTTCTGAATCGATAAATATGACAGACGTAAGAAAGTGGAAGGATGAAAAGCTCGGGCTTTGCTCCGGACCATTCTTTTAATGTTTTTCTGAAAAAAATATAAAAGTTTTGACTGCAAGGACCAGAAGTGCTAAAATGGTTAAAGAATTAAAAGGGTAAGAATTAACAACTTTTTAGAAAAGGGATCAAAGTTGTCAAGCTGTTGAAGTTTTGTGGCCAAACTTTAAATATTAAAAAGTTCATAAAAAATGTTAAAATATTGATTGTAAGGATCAAAAGTGTCAAAATGACTAAAGAATGAAGAGCAAAGTTGCCAAAAAACTTCCAAATTTACTATTCGTAAGATTCATATCTTTAATATATATAGGGAAATGATCAAATGAGAACGCTTAAAAGGTTGAGAACGCGAGAACAAATCTGGTACATTAAATATTTATAATCTAAGGATCTCATTGTTAATTAATATAAAGAAATTAATAAATGAATTTAATTGTTTTTTTAATTAAAAAAAATATAAAAGGGTATTCAAGTAATTTTATGATGTTATCCAATTTGAATATATCGGGTAAGTTTGAAAATTAAAAGAAACCGTTCCTATGTTTTAGTAATCACAGTTAACTTCTAATGTTTTGGATGATTCGATCATATCTTGAAAGAAAAATAGCGTCACAGATAAACGATTATACCACATTCGAGTAATATAGTTCATTCGGGAAGAGTTATTTTGCATTCTGAACTTTGTGAAGCGTCGTAGGTGGAGGAATGTCGTCGTTGATCAATCGAAGTGGAAGAAGTAAGTTTTCTAATCTTTATTGAATGTCGATTGACTGGAAAACGTGTGTATTAGTGTGTTTAGGTTTTTATAATGTGTACATTTGACGATTCTTAAAACCCTAGAAGTTGGGTGATTCGTTTTTTCTTTATATCGTCGATTATGACTGTAGTTATTCTTCATCTCTGATGAATGTTGTTTTAAATGTTTTGTTTCACAAATAACACGTTGGTGTATTTGATTGTTAAAATGAAAATGGTAATTATAGGTGAGTTCCGAATTTACGGTATTGTGATTTTGAATGTGCTTAAAAATCAACAGTTTATGATTGTGTTTGATAGTTATAGAATGAATATACATGTGTAATCGTAGTCGACTACTTTGAACTGAAATAAGGTTACGTAAACCTAAAAATTAGGGCTTTTTTTTACATCATAAGTAGCACAGGAAGAGTAATTGATGTTAGTATTCGACTGTGAATGTTTTTTAGTTGACAAATAATAGCGAATTGTGAGAATGTCATTCATTAATAATGATTACTTGTAAAATCCAATTGTGCGACAAAAGTACTTTTATAGTATTAATCCTTGTTGTTGGTTGTATGTTTTGAATATAGTTAAAGTGATATTCAGTTGTGAATGGGTACTTTATTGAGTATGTATGTGGTTTTGATCCTGTACATGATTTTGTATGTAAAGATTAATGATGTAGGAGTGCAAACTGTTTTATGTGGGTAAGTTAATTGCACTGTTTGTTTGTTGATGATTGTTGTAAACATTACTCTGATTTTGGGGAGAAGAGGAGTCATTGATGTTAGTATTCGATTGTGAATGGTTTTTATTAGAAAAATAATAACGAAGGGTATAAATGTCATTTAGTACTACTGATTACTTGTAGAATCCGATTGTTTTTGAGACATAAGTACTTTTTCTATTATTATTCCTTGATGTTGGTTGTATGATTTGTATATTGTTAAAGACATAGTCATTTGTGAATATGTACTTTGTTGACTATGTTTTGTATGTTAAGAATAATGATGTATGAGTCCCAACTGTTTTACGTTAGTAAGTTAACTACACTTTTTGTTTATTGATGATTATTGTAAACATTCCTCTGTTTTTTGGGTATGTGTTTAATGTAGAATGTATAATGGATGATTATTTGAGTTGTTAATGTTTCAATTCTGAGTTATAAATGATTAAGGTATATTAATACTATTATTAGGTAGAAAGAAAAGCGAGATGATATTACTAAAGACGACATTCAGCAAATTCACTAATGAAGAATCCAATCCATTGCTTATTGATATTGAAGATGCAGACAATGAAGGAAACGAACTAGTACAACCTCAGATTAGAAGAGAAGGACAGAAGAAGTTTTCAACACCTAAGAAGAAAACTAAAAATCAAACTGGTGGTGATGATGATTATATGAAATTTAAAATTTTAAATATCAATTTGAATCTATAGTGATTATGTGTCTTATTTTTTGGACAGGTGTGGGGGAACGTGTTAATCGCACACCAGCTCATTCAATGCGAAGGGATCTTAAAGTTGTAGTTTTGAGCTCAGATTCAAGTAATGTACTTGTTTAGAAATAAATTTATTTAGAGTTTGATGTTGTAGTTAGTTTTAATAACTTGTTTGTTTTGTATTTATTAATAGAAAAAAACAGGAAACCCAAAGTCAATGTGAAGAAGGTTGATGGAGGAAATTCAAGGTTCTCTAAAGCTAAAAAAAATATACAGAAAAAAAAGGTATGAATGATGATTTCATGAAATGTAACTTATATATTAAAGTATCTTCAGTGATGATTATGTTGTCTAATTATTGACAGGTTTCATTGAAAGTTATGACTTGACAGAAGATAGTGGACTAAATAGGGAAAATGAATTGAGAACAAAAATACGTTTTGATAGATGTAAAACAAAAGGTGATGAAGTTATTGTTATAAACTCATTTTCAGGTAGTGTTATTTTCTTTAATAAATTTACTATAGCATTGGTATGGTAATTTATTTATAATCATTTATTGTGTTAAATTTGTCTTAACAGGAAAAGATAATGTTACTGTCAAGAACCTTGACGAAGATGAAGACTCTGATTTTGAGGCTGACATAACTGTGGTAACAAGGAAAAAGAGAAGGCATCATACTTCATTCAAAGATGATGACAAAGAAAATGTGAAGAAATTTAAAAGACAAAGGAATAAAGAAGGAAATGTGTTGAAGCCAAGAAAACATCCTAAAGTTGTAGCAAGTGGTGCAGAAGAAGCTAAGCGAATACAAGTACGGACATCTCCAAATGTTTTGTACAGTTGTATGCATAACCTTAGCAAGGAACAGGAAGCTTATATTTCTTCTATTGGTCTGGGGCATTTGTTGAAGATGAAAGTGGATGGGTGTGCATCAATTGGGGGCATTATATTGTAAGGAATTTTAACGCAGATAGGATGGTACTCAAACTTCATCATGGAGAGATACCAATCAATCGGCAAGTTATTCACGAAATGTTGGGTCTGCCTCTGGGACATGTTACAATAAAGTCTATGCCTTATAGAGAAGTCACAGATGACACGATAACTGTTTGGAGAAAACAATTCGAAGATGAAGATAATATTAGACCAAGGGCAGTTCAACAAGTTATTATGCAGTCAACACGTGCGGATTTAATGTTTAAAGTAAACATCTTTGTCCTGTTGTGTAATACACTAGGTCAGTCGATGAGCATGGGCACGTGTGACCTGTCGATGTTATCAAAAGTGACGAAAGATCTGGATCTAAGTGACATTGATTGGTGTGGATATGTTTTTGATTGCCTTAAGGAGACAAAAAGTGCGTGGAATCCAAACAGCAAAAAAGGATTCTATGTTGGGCCAATTATATTACTGCTGGTAAAATTTGTTTTAAATTAAACTGTCATTCAATATTTGTAGCCTTATGTGTGCAGATTCATTAAAGTGTATTTAAGTAAAACATTTTTATTTGTCTTTGTTGTAGTTGCTATACGTAGAAAGTGTTCGATGCGATTCAGTGAAGATTGTACGATGCAGACCAGCAATATGTTGTTGGAGTGTTGATAAACTACGTGAGCGAGAAAGAGTAGAGTGTAGGACAATTGGTCTGGGTATGGGTGAATTGCAAGATCCATTTCAATTCATCAATGAAGCATCGGGAACTGGTAATGTAGGGCAAGAAAAAGTTCAGGTAATATTTTATTGTATTGAACAATGCATATGAAATTTATTATTTGTTTATTTGGTATAGTATAAATTAATTACATTTATAAATTATTGATAGGGAAATGATGCAGGAGATGTAAGGTGTAAGGTAGTAATATAATATAATCATAACTAAATAATAAGTTATTAGTACAACAACTAATATTGTGTTGCTTTTCGTAGGGAAATCATGGAGATAGTTAACTACCTATTCACATTTGAATAATGAGTTTCTACAGTATTAATTAATACTAACTGACATATTAATATTTTTATTTGGTTTGTAACATAATTCTATTGTGGTGACCTATTTAGACAACTGTTTCAACAATAAAGGAGATGTACGACATGATATTGTAGCAAAAGAAAGTGTTGGAAGACAAAATAAATGATGCTGTCAAGAAATATCCTGATAATCAGTTGGTCAAAGAATGGAAAAACAAAGTAAATGATTTGTTTACTGAAGTTTCTGCATCAGAGGAACCAGAACAATCTCAATGGTGGTATGATAACGAGGCTGAAATTGAACGTACGCTGATTCTAGCTACAACTAACAAACAGTTTGACAACTCCCCGTTAGCAAAATGTAGTATTCAAATGTCACAGGAATATGCAAATTTCGCGAATAGATCTGGAACAAAATTTTTAAGAATACACCACCATCTAAAATGGAAATGCCAATTCCTTTGTCTGTAGTACCATTCAACAAAGATGAACATTGGGTTAGTAGAAGAGGGTACAGGCCTCGCATGAAATCCGAATATCTGAAATCTCCTTACGTTATACGGGCTGTTGATATCATCAAAGGAGTTCCACGGCAGGAAAAACGTGTAGCAGAATGGATATTCTCTCTCCAGGGAGATCCAAAGTAAGTTGCATTTAAAATATTTTTAAAATTACTTAATTTTATTGTTTGCTCATTAAAAATAGTATTAATTGTTCACGTCTATTGCAGTGATATAGTTTTCCACACTCTGGATGGGTTTTCTGCACAGAGGTTTCATATGGAAAGTTTTTTTCCAACATGTGAACTATTTGGCCATGTCATTGATTGTTGGAGTCAAGTGTTGAATCTTGATGAAAGTAAGCGTGCACCTGAATCGCCCCTGAGAGTTTATTGCAAGACAGATGTGACGGTATAAGTTAATATTGTTCAATGTTGATTATATTATTTTTTAAATACAAACATATAAAGAAGTTAATGAGTTTTTAAAAATCGATCACAGAATTCGTATCTAGAAAGTGGTTTAACAGAAAGTCAACGTAAAGATAAATTCATTGAGAATTTGGTGCTTTCTATTGAAGATATGGACGCAAGCCTACGTTTTGTTGGACGTAAGAGATATATCTCCACAGTTTACTTACATGTGTATTTATCATTGATCAAATATGAATATTAAATAAAGTGAATACAATTGTAATTAATAAACGTTGCAGCTTTTCCTACCAATCATCCGTTCCTTCCACATTTTCCTTTTTGTGATCAATCTACAACAACCAGAGTTTGTAATCGTTGACAACAGCAAAGTTGATGATCCTGATGGTGAGAGATATGGTCAGTTGCCCCAAATCATTGTAAGTGATTAATAAAAATTACTTTACATACTTAATAAAATTTAATATGTGTTGACAATTTTTTTTTACATTTTCAGAAAGAGTACATAGTTGATTACTTAAAATCTCAGAATCATCCAAAAGCTGAGATGTTTTCACATGTGATGCCACATAGACTGGAAATGCCTTGGAGAACAATAAACAACAGCATTGATTGTGGTGTGTTTACGATGCGTCACATGGAAACATATATGGGGGAAGTATGAATGAGTTTAAAGCTGGATTCAAGAACGAGTCTTCTGCACAAGATGATCAACTTGTTAAACTGAGGACAAAGTATTTATACAAAATACTCACTCATGAATATAATGTGCAAAAGGATTATGTGCTGCAAAAGGTTGATGAATTCCACAAGATTCCTTCAAAACAACGTTCTCAAATGTTGGCCATTGCAAAGGAAGAAATTCACAGGAGATTGGATGTTTTAAGTTAATTGTTTTAAAAAAGTAATTTTAGTTATGACTTTAATGGTTTCTTTTGGATGGATTAAAAACAATGCTTTTGTATGCTAAGGATGTTAACTTGGGTTGCTGTACGTACAATACTTACTTTTGGTTTGCTAATTTTAGTAATGGACTAGTGATATTTTAGTATTTTATATTTTTACATTAACATTTGAATAATTAAGTTATCTTAGAAAATGATGATTAACATTGATGGTATAGTTTTACTGTATATTCAGTAATGATTCTAACTAACAAACATTTATCAATATGCTATTTTACTATGAATATACAATCAGAGTTTTTAATAGTTAAAGTGAACATATCTATATTATATAATGATTGTTGGTGGGTTTATATCTTAAAGTAGGTTGTTATTTAAATATTGAATAATAGCATAAACACTTACTTGAAGTATTCCTAACATATTATACTTTAGTTCAACCTACATACTTACTTTTGGTTTGCTAATTTTAGTAATGGACTAGTAATATTTTAGTATTTATATTTTTACATTAACATTTGAATAATTAAGTTATCTTAGAAAATGATGATTAACATTGATGGTATAGTTTTACTGTATATTCAGTAATGATTATAACTAACAAACATTTGTTAATATGCTATTTTACTATGAACATACAATCAGAATTTTTAATAGTTAAAGTGAACATATCTATATTATATAATGATTGTTGGTGTTTATATCTTAAAGTATGTTGTTATTTAAATATTGAATAATAACATAAACACTTACTTGAAGTATTCCTAACATATTTTAATTTAAATGCAAATTGTTTTATCTTAAACAGAATAGTATTTAACAATGTTCATATCATCAATATGTTGAAAATAATTAATGTATTTATGATGTTATTCATTATTGACTACACTTAGGGTTAAAAAGTCAACCATGGTTAAACTTATGACTAAAATTTACCCAAACGCAAACGTAAATCAATATATGATGTATAGCTATTTTAAAAGTTAATCGTACAAACATTTGGTATTAAGATATACTACTAACAGCATACAATAAACTATGAATATTGCTTGGATTGTATATGACTATAGTATATAATGATTGATGGTTTTATAATTTCAAAAAAGCACAAGTATATCTATTGTAAGTGCGAACTGTTTTAATCTAATAAAAGAGGTTTAAATACCAGATATTGTCATTAATCTGTTAGCATTACCAAATTTGGCATTGCTATTATTCATCTATGAATAAAATAAAAACGTTAAAAGTAATGAAAGTGGTTTAAGATAACATAACCTACTAAATCATAGAAACATATTCGTATTCATAAGTGTAATAGAAAAGTAAAATCTAATGGGAAATGACTGGGCAATTTTAAGCTGCTTTTGACTCTCGTGCAAGTCTTACTTTGCAAGTCCTCCAATTATGGTTAACATATTGATTGCAACCTGTGCACATTCTGGTTTTTTCTTTGCAGCTGCAACGGCTTTCTCAATAGCACTAACCATTCTTTTCTTAGTTCCACTACCTTTGGTACGTATAGATGCAGGTGGATGGATATTTATTTCATCAGGAATGCTGCGTATTCCAAGCATCCGAATAATTTCTTCTTCATCGTTCAGATGATGTTTGGTTGGAACTGGCAAACTCCATTGCTGCCCGCTTCAACGTACGTGTTTTTTCAACAAACTCCAACAATTTCTCTTTGCTTCTTTTGAAATGATCCAAGCAGTATTCAATATTGTTGTATTGCCTCTGTTAAAAGTTTAAAGGTGTCATCTTCTATTTCCATGGCAACATGTTTCATGGCAAATAAATGGCTGGAAATTGCATCCCTTCTCTATCTTCTTAGAATATATTGCTCTGGAATCTCTTCAATATGGTTGTTTTTCAATACAGCAAAAATATGACGACACAAAATGCCAGTACGTATGAAGTGATTGCATGAACATTTAACTTCTTTTTCAGGCAACTTTAGTTCAACCTACATTGTATAATAAAAAATAATGTAATGTTAGTAACTGATTGAAGTAACATATTAGTTGGTGGTTATTGCATAATAATGAAAAAATATATGTAATTTAAAAATAATTAGATATTATACTTGTATGATGACTAATGAAAAGCATTTAAACGATGAATATAACCTTGCATTTTATCTTCAACTGTTTGCTCTTATCCGTTTGTGTAATCATAACAACTTGCCACCCATCAATCTTTTCAACACTGTCGATAGAACAGTACCAGGCTGCTTTAAATATTTCCTTTTTGACCTCATAGAAAATCTTTTTTGTGTAAACCGCAGCTGCATGTTCTAGTAAGCCACTTGGAAGCGTCATTTCATGCTTTGCATTTTTTGTATCATGTTCTAGTTTATGTTGAGCATTTCGTTGCTTTCCAATTGCGGTGTCGTAGTTCATCATGAAATAGATAAGCAAATTACCAGAGTTAGAGTATTTATTAAAAAATCAGTTCACGCTTTCAGACCTTGAAGTAGTTTTCATCAGACCGTGTAGTGGCATGTCTTTAAAATAGGCTGGAATCCAAAATTTTCGTTCCCTGTACATGTCTTTGAACCATCTTTTGTCCTGTAGTTTTGAATTTTCTCATTAGCAGTTTCCACCTTGATTCAAACACTTCAGGCTCGATATAGACATTCCATACAAGCTTTGTAAAACGCTTGCGAAAATCAGTGTTTTTTCAAAAAATCGGCTGAAACCTAAAAAAAATAGAAATTTATTAGATTAACTATGAATAAACAATATGTATGCTAATCGTTATTAAAAATATGT